ATACCCGATAATCTGAATCATCAATTACGACTCAATTACTTCGGATTAGATGGAGGATTTAAAGCATCAAGTTAATGACATAAGATAAAAGTTAAAATGAACAAGGACTAACCGCAGAGCTTTCTCTGAGATTCCACGGAGTAAGTGTCTCTATCACATCCTTTGCCAATGTGACGAGTGGCCAAAGATACCTTGGCGGCCACTCTATCCAGTTTGCAGGGCACTTCGCACAACTCCAGTCTGGCTTCCGGGAAAAGGGGTCTTCTACCAGAACCCGGTGTATACTCTATTCGTTCTCGTACTCCTGATAAAGAAAAAAAATTGTTTATTAACGGTGGTAAACGGCAAAAAAAGATTCCATGAAATAAATAAATGTTAATAATTGCATCAAATATTGTCCTTAGATTTTCAGTGAAAATATCGGGTAACATTTTCTTATACGGAATAAGAATGAACAGAATTATCTTTCAATCTAAGCATAGCTGCCAACATGAATAGGAAAAAATCCAGCAATACTTCCAACAATATGCCAGAAAATATTTCATCAACGAAATTAAATAAAGTAAACTATTATTTACATACAGTGATTATTTGTTCACAGACACTAACAGCGAGGCTTTACAAAAAAATAAATAACAAAACAATTTTCTCGAGATATTTTTCTTCCATAAAGAATATTTAAATTTTCTTTAGTTGTGTTGCACTTTTAACTGACCTCCTCAAAACTTAGTAATTATTATTTTTTTTTTTTAAATTACAAAATATATTCCTACAGCTACGTACTTACTAGTTAAAAAATATTTATTTCATAATCAAAATAAAAAGCAATAGATTTTTAAAAATTTTAGTGTTTTTAGACAACGATTAAATGTTCACTTTCGAATTGATATAGACGGCCTCTGCAGAGGGTGTTGCCTCTGCCCCTATTTAATTTCAATTTTTCAAATTCTCTCTTGGTGTTTGTTAAATAAAAATTTTTGAAGTTGTTAGTCGCTCTCCATGTAGGGGATAGAATCATTTTCCAAAACTTTCAGGTACTGTGACATTTCAGGCACCATGACACTGTGCTGTGACATTTTCACTTACAATAAGTTGCATGCGCATACTAATTCTCATCCTACCCTGTGACCAATCTCGAAGTTTGAACTTCATCAAGGAAACCGTTCAAAAGTTATGACGGTTTTATTTCTAATTGTGTAATAATTATCACCCAGTATGTGATTAAAACAATATTCAGAGATTTCATCGACACTTTCTTCGCGGGAATGAAACAACTTTGCAACAAACAAGTCGCTAATTCCTCCGTGAATTTGTTTGCAAATTCGTACTGGATAGATACACTGCAATAATGAAGGAAAACCTTGTGTAGAGAACGAATTATCTCGTCCCTATGAAAAGAGTAAATGTCTTACCTTTCCAACCTATTCGACAGACTCTGTTCACTTTGATGTTTACAGTGGCTGGCTTTGATCGTTTCATTCCACAGTCATAGGCTACAACGGTCAAAATATGGTTGGGTGCTT